TAGTGGGGATGCTGTCTGTTCTGTGGTACAGAGTCCTGATGACTCCAAACTTGTGCTCCAAAGGGTGATGGGAGTCAAACTGCAAATACTGTTCTGTGTGGGTGGGTTTGCGGTACACCTCAGGTTGCAAATGTCCTCTATCAGAGACTGAGACTTTGCAGTCCAAGAAAGCCAACCTGCCATTTTTTAGGTGGTTGGCAAACCACCACCTTCTAACATCAGTAGAGAGGAGAGGGATGCACTCACCACTCTTAGCAAGGACAAAAACATCATCATTCTCCCAGCAGATTAATGAAGGTGCACAGTGATTTTGAACCAGAAAGACTATCATGATAAAATTATGACACTCCTTAATGACTTAACCACTTATGAACCTCTGAAAAGAGATCCAGGAAGTGGTTACAAGAAGAAGTTGATAGATTGCCTGAAAATTTTGGAACAGGACAATGCTATTGACCATTTTCTGTACCACAGACTGCACCTAGGGGAGGCCACACCTATTCTGTATGGTTTATCTAAAATCCACAAACTAGGTGTACCTTTAAGACCTATTGTTAGCATGATTAACTCTGTCACTTACAATGTTTCCAAATATCTGGCGTCTGTACTCATCCCTTTAGTTGGCAGCTCAGAACACCACATACAGAACACCATGGACTTTGTGGATAAGGTGAGGGATGTCATCATGGAGACTGATGAAACAATGGTCTCTTTTGATGTCACATCATTCTTAACGTGCATTCTTGTTGATGATGCAGTAGAGGTGGTCAGTTTAAGATTAAAATCAGACACCACTCTGAGCAGCAGGACCACGCTTTCCACAGAACAACTGGGTCAACTCTTGAAACTGTGCCTGCAGTCAACCTACTTCACATATGGGGAGCAATGTTATAGGCAGAAACATGGGTGTGCTATGGGGTCTCCAGTTTCTCCTTTTGTGGCCAACCTGTACATGGAGGAGGTAGAAAAGAGAGCCATGACGTCCTTTTCAGGGACATCACCAAGTCATTGGTTCAGGTATGTTGACGACACCTGGGTAGTGCTGAGTACCGAACCGAGGTTCTTAAATGGCACCGACCGAACTGCACCGGTCGGTGTATGGATTGAAATGTCACTCTTTTTTCGGTGTCAAGTTTTGGTATTGGATGTAAGGTGTCACGTGGTTTCAGCAAGCAGACAGGTAAAACGCAGACATATGACAGACTACGTGTTTACACCCAGAGCTGTACAGAGCTGCCGCACCTAATCTATGTATAATATATGTCTATGGTGCTGGTGATGCCCACAGACGGGGTTCATGTGTGCAGCGCGTGTTGTCGAACGGCTTCGAAAACACACGAGCATAAAGTTGCTCCATGTTTCTCTGCAACAGCAGCCCCCCCCCCCCCCCCCTCAGCGTGAGTCAGTCTCTGTGTGTGTGTGAAACGGACTGAATCAACATTCCACGGCCGGACTCGTCTTCATCAAAGAACTCCCGAGGACGGCTCTGTGTCTGTGTTTCAGCTGGTGAGTTTACGTTTGTTAACCTGACTGAAAAATGTTGATTTTATACCTGGATTATTGAGCAAGGACTTTGTTACGTTTGTTAATGTTACTACAGCTTAACACGTACATCGTGGTGAAATAACGCTAACTTTAAGATATTAGTGTGTAAATTTATTTTATCTACATAGCTAGCTAAACTCAGAAGCTAACTAGAGTGACAGTAACAGATAAATCTTAGCTTGAAAACGTGCTCATCCATACATTCAGCTGCTTAAACAGTTCACCTAATGTTCACTGTTTATGTTCATCTTCTCCTCACAGGAGCCTCTGACCCTGATGTGAGATCAGACAGAAAAGCAAGGTGGGGGCCATAGGACGATCACAGACTTTGTTGTTAAAAGTTTGCCGTCTTTTCTACAGTGGAGCTGCACGGTGGAGGTAAATTAAGCTTTAAAGGATGTTGTTGACCAGTTAAACTTTTATCTCTCAGCCTAGATAATGTTTTTTGAGTAATAATAACACAACCATGTTATTGTTGATATTTTGTGTTCTAATGTCAATTAGGGAGATGATAAGAGCCCTAAACCCTAAAATTATCTGCATCGTTTTTATGTCTATATTTATGATTTACTTAATTTTGTATTTTGCTTTGTGTGTTACCTGTTGTTCTGTCCGTAAAGCACTTTGGTTGGCCTTGTCGCTGTTTTAAGTGCTCTATAAATAAAATGGTATGGTATGGTAAACCCCAGAGAACCACAGAGAAGATTCAGGCAGAGACACAGAGGTGCAGATGTCTGCATCATCCCTACCTCATTGAATCCAGTGACCTGCTGGTGGAATGTGAGGGACAACGTGTCAGTGCTATCAAACTGACAACCAGGTATCTGTGTGTGCAACAAGCATCATCTACAGCCTCAGAGTGAACATTTTCTACTGCTGGAGACACCATCAGCCAGGAGCAGCTGGTTTGTGTCCAGAGAAAACAGACATGATGTTTCTGAATAAAACTGTTCAGTGAAAAGATCCTCAGTGTGTAGCAGTGAGCATTAGACACTGACATGTCACTGGTTTGTAACTGGTCTTTTGAACTGGAAATTATTTGTTTATTTAAATGTAAGAAAACTGCTTGGAATAGAAATACCAAAGTTAAAAAATAAAACTCACAATTTGTACTGTAATGTGTAACGTACTTTTATTCTTGTTAGAATTAATAATAATTACAAAATTGGTACCGAAAAAAGAACCGTCCAGGACCCGACACCGAAGTGAAGGTACCGACACCGGGACCGATACAGAATTTTTTTTTTTTTTTTTAGAAAGGTACCCAGCCCTACACCTGGGTTAAAATTAAATCTCAGGAAGTCCAACATTTTACTGACCACATCAACTCTGTGGATAAATACATCAAGTTCACACGAGAAGATGTAAAAAATAGCAGGTTGGCTTTCTTGGACTGTGAGGTCTCAGTCTCTGATAGAGGACATTTGCAAACTGAGGTGTACCGCAAACCCACCCACACAGACCAGTATTTGCAGTTTGACTCCCATCACCCTTTGGAGCACAAGTTAGGAGACATCAGGACTCTCTATCACAGAGCAGACAGCGTCCCCACTAGCTCAGGAGCCAGGCAGAAGGAGAAATCCCACACAAGACAGGCTCTAGAGCAATGTGGATATCCTAACTGGGCCTCCCTGAAAGCAGAGAAGAAACCCAAACAGGACTCCAGTCAGCCATCAGGTGAAAAGGAGGAACCCAGACCCAGACCAGTGGTCATTCCATATGTTGAGGGAGTATCAGAGAAACTGAGACGTTTATTTTCTACATAACGTCCCAGTGGCTTTTAAACCCCAAAATACATTAAAGACTGGTTCATCCCAAAGATCCAGTCCCATGGCACAAACAGAGAAATACTGTGTATGTTGTTCAGTGTCAGGAGGGTGATCAGTCTTACATCGGGGAAACTAAACAGCCACTGGCCAAAAGGATGGACCAGCACAGAAGAGCAACAACATCAGGCCAGGACTCTGCGGTCTACACTCATCTCCAGGCCAGCGGTCACTCTTTCAAGGATGAAGATGTTCACATCCTGGACAGAGAGGAACGATGGTTTGAGAGAGGAGTAAAGGAGGCCATCTTTGTGAAAAGAAATCATCCATCATTAAACAGGGGTGGAGGCCTCCGTGTTCAACTGTCCCCCTCTTACAATGCTGTGATTGCTAGTATCACTCAGCCCTCTGTGAACAGTAAACAGCCATCAGGTGCTAATGATCCATTGTTAGGCTGATGGTCCTTCTTGACCATGTGAGCAGCTGGTTTTGGTTGTCAGCAGCAAAACTGGTTGATCCACTCTGAGAAGGTGCTATTTAAGAGACTGAGCTGAATACAGCTCCTCAGACTGAAGAAGTCTTTTGGATGAAAGATGAAACATTTCTACTTTTTTTGTTTGTTTGTTTTACTTTGTTTTGTATTTTGAATGTCCAGAGGACCAGATTTACCTTTTTTAGATATGCTGGTAGAAGTAGCTAAATCTGCTAGAAAAATTAGCTAAACATGCTAGTATAGGTAGGTAAATATGCTAGGAGATCTAGCTAAATCTGTTAGTAGATGTAGCTAAATATGTTTGTAGAAATAGCTAAATATGATAGTAGAAATAGCTAAATATTATAATAGAAATAGCTAAATATGATAATAGAAGTAGCTAAATTTGCTAGAAAAATTAGCTAACTATAGTAGTAGCTGTAGCTAAATATGCTAGTAGATGTATCTAAATATGCTAGTATAAGTGCCGATAGCTAAATATGTTAATTAATGTAGCTAAATATGCTAGTAGAAGTACGTAAATGTGCTAGTATAAGTAGCTAAATGTGCTAGTGGATGTAGCTAAATATGCTAGTAGATGTAGCTAAATATGCTAGTATAT